TCTGTTTTCTATAAAGCTTTGATTGCACCAAAGAGTATGTTGTTCGGCGAACGGGAACTAACTTGACTGGAGGATGTGCTCTGTCCAGAAAAGTATTTACGTAGCCACTCACCAAAAATCCACGTGGAATGGATCATACTTAAATTTCAATGGTTTTTGTTTTACAGAACTAGAAGCACATGCTCCACTGAAAAACGGAGTGAAGAAATTATGAACCTTGTGAAAATTTAAAAAAATAAGGTTACCTTTCGAAAGTCATGAACATTTATAGAAGATTTGAAAATCTAAAGGTGAAACAAACCACAGTAAATAAGAAACTTATTTTCATTCAACTGAATTCAAAAGTCGACAATATTTCAGAGGTAGTTAACAGAAGATTGAATGCCTCTGTAACCAGAACCTGCCCTATAACCCAGTTGGTTCTTCCTCATTGAACAACATCCTCTTTGGTACAATCAGAGATTGACAGATACCCTTCCTATGTCTATCCTAATGATGTATCACTCTGTTTTGTATTAAGTAGCATTTTGGAAATAATAAGCAAGGTGAAACGGTAACGTAGTAAAGAATTATCTCCGGTGTCATTTATTTTATGACTGTACATGGTCGAATTTTACTTTTAAAGAGTTTGCGATACTGTCTAGACTATTGCAATCTTTTCAAAAGAAGAGGTCTTTGTTGTGTCTGTTACAATTTTATATCCACTTACCTCAGACATTTAGTCCATTTTATTTTCTGGATGAATGGAAAAATTATTCATCAGTTTTAATGTGTTATTTATATTATAGTGATAAGACCTATCACCAAAGACTAGTTAGTGTATTATAATACTGTATAGCTATTAAAGGGCGAGTGTGTGTGTGTGATTATAAGTTTAGACAAATTTTGCTTCATTGTAAAAAATTACAGACATCCATGGGGTAGTAAGTAATAACAATTCCAGTTACCAATAGTTCACACTCTATGCGAATTATTAATCAGCTACATACATTGCTGACATTTAGATGAATATATCAGTTTTATATTTTAATTAATGAGAGTTTTTTGAGACTGGTCTTTTGCGAATACAGTTTATATTTAGTAAAATAATAACTAGATATCGTGATATTTATATAAAGTAATTTTCACTGATGAATGATTCATAAGTTTTAACCGAATATACATCAGCATAGTTTTAGCTGTTGCATGATCGGCACATCTGCAAGGGTTCACATAAATATATATATAGTATGGAGAGATAACATTACTCTTTTTTTACATAAAAATTGATTTTGTTCAGCCTGGGTCTATATGTTACGTTTAATTCCCTTCAAGTGGTCTCTGTTAGAACACAAAAGTATGCAGTTTTCCTATTGATTTATGAAAATCTCAGAAAATAAAAACAGTATTATCGCAATCATAAGCATGAATGAAATAAGTTTATCAAGTGCTGACTTGATAGGAAGTACCATCAATTTATCATTTTAGAGAGAAATACGTATCCATTTCTTTACAAAATACAGCAGTTTAAATCATTGTCCAGAATCCCTTGTAAAAGTAGTTTAAAAGAAAGGTAATACAACTTAAAAATAAACAGTCTTAGTAAATCATAAGCTACTTGATTCAAGAAGTATCAACATTCAGTATTCATATTTTTCTGCCTTTAATTCACTTAAAAATGGAGTGTAAAAAGCATATATGTATATGTCAACCAGTTAGGTAGATTAGAGATGGTTAAAGAATTCTCCGGAAATCCGAGATTTTTAGTGCGTGAATCTTGATGATTCATTCAGGAAAGAAGTATACTTTGAGATTATTGTCCTCTAAACTTAATAGTTCCGAAAATATAGCACCATTGTCTAAACAAAGATCCTGAATAACTTCCCTCTTTTAAAATGCTGTGTAAGGAAGAGCCAAAGAAGGAATAGGTATGAAGAAATGTAGAAAAAATAAATAAGATTCAGTAAAGTGCTAGTTATAATTAATAGTCCCTATTAGAGTGACTTTTGTTGTTATTGGAGACTTTTTATTTATGCAGATATCAATTCTAATGAATATCAACATTTGCAACGAGATATTAATCCGCTCAACTTGATGTCTGTCTTTTTGATTTTGTATTTCATTCCTTCACGTTCCCAGTGTAACATGGAAATTCAAGTTGGAGATTTGACGTTTCAGGAGTAATGGTTGCTTTCACCGAGCCCCGCCTTCTGTTTTCTCCAGATTTTTCTCCAACTAAGCGAGATTTTAAAGTATATCAGCGGGGAATCAAATCCCAGACCTTTTTCCAACTGGTTGGAGAGTATTCAACCGATGAAACACCAACAAGCGTCTACCTATTTATTTTGTGTATAAATACAGTGATTTAATGGTTCGTAGGTCAGTAGTGGTAATGAGATACTCAGTGTTAATAATCTCAGGGGACACAAAAAACCTGTTTACCAGAAATGAGTTAAGGAAGAAATGCTAACATTTATATCACTGCTACTTAATCTTCCTGAACTAAATTCAGTAAAATGTCTAATTATTCAAAGCTACAGACTAACTAGTGAAGTAGAAATTGCAATGAATTATTCCTACATAATACTAATTCACCCAATCAGCTAGTCAGAATTTGGATGGTCTGATAGTGAATCCACTCTCTGAGCATGTATTTTCAGTCGAATACACTACTGATGAGCTTGGTCTGAAATGACAGAAATCTATCATTTAGGTTACTTAAATCTGCCTAGGGAAGACGAGTGGTTTCTAGTCACTAATTACAGTCAGTGTGCGTTGATGGTTGATTGGAAAAGTGCTCTCCAACCTCGAATGTACTCTGGATTCGACTCCCAGCCGATGGGATCCTAAACATCACCATGTGAAAAATAAACCAAATAAAAAGAGAAAGTTCGATACGAGGCTACCAAGCCTACCTGGTAAAAACAAACCTACTGCTAATGAAACTCCAAAGCTCAAACTTGAAGCCCTGTGTCCCACTTGGAACATAAAGGAATAAAACAGAATAACAATCAACAGTGTGTACCACCAGGCCTCTTCAAATTATTTAGGAAACATTTCTCGAAAGGTTTGCAAGGGTCTGTTAACCAGAGACAAATAATTACAGAGTTATGGTTTCATACTGTTACCGTAGAATGCGTACATATAAAGAAGTCTCACAATAGTTGGCGCTGGAGCGATGCGTATGCACTAAACAGTAGTCTAACATTAATCACTATATTAGATAAAGGAAAGAACATAAGACCACACCGCTGTTTTCAAAATTTGTTATCCTCTTTTTGATTACATTTGTAATAGTTTGAAAAAACTCAACAGAATTTAAGTGGAATCGGATTTTCAACACTAGGATTAAGTCAGTTCTTCTGTATAGTTCAGAAAAAGTGCGTCACAGAAAACACTTCCAATAGGCTTCAGGCTTTCATTAACAGTTATCTCTGCCTCATATTGAAGATTAGATGGCTAGAAATAATTAGCGATATGAAACTCTGGGAACAAATCAGTCAAGAACCTATCGCTCGAGAGGTACGACGAATAAAGTGGAGATGGATAAAAGACACACGCTGAAGAGAGTGTTGGGTGACATTTCATGGCAGGCTATCATTCGAGCGGAGTGCGAATGGGCAGGGATGAGCTGGGAGTGTATCCAAGGGTAAAATGAAAGAGACTGTGTGAGGAGGAAATGAGAGCTTATAGACAATCGTTGAGTTAGTCAACTAGAGTGGACTGCAGAGGACAGAATGAAATGAAGATGTACTGTTGAAGTCCTATTTTCCACTCGGAACCCAAAAGATTGATGATAATAATAGTGATCCATTTATCGATTAACTTAAACAATAGTGTAACCTATTTGTGTCCAGTCGTCGAGATATACACATTTAGAATCTTTAAAAAACATATAATGCATTCAGATGTGCGTTGGTGGCACAGCGATAGAATGCTCACCGACCAGGCATGTAGTCTGGCGTTCGATCCCTGGCCAACGCACTCCTTCACCTTGCTAAGCCAGTAATAAGACTGGTAAAGAGTGAAGGTTGGGCATGGCGCTAGCAACCCCATCCCGTAAAAGTAAAAACACCCATGGTACCTAAACTTCAAGCCTCTAGCTGGAATCCCTATGCTCCAATGGAAACGTAAATGAATACACACACGTATTCAGATGCTAAGATTCTTAATAAATGTAAATATTTCAAATACTAAGACACTTTCACAGCATAATAAAGAATTTTTCGTGCGTGTAGGATTGTTGCTACTGATTATAGTTCTTTCAAATTATATAAAAGCTGTTTGGCTGCAAGATTCTACCATACAGGCGATAATTACTATTTACAAAGATTTAAATTTGATTTACTATCATGTGATTAACAGTCATAAAAAGTGTTTGAAAACTTCTAAGGATAAATGTTTTGATATTGAGTTGAGAAATCATCTCATGAAGATCACTAGCTTTTACAACGTACTATCACACTCTGAAAGACTTTCTATTGGAAATACTAAAAAATCTCTGAATAATTCACTTGCTTTTGAAAATATATTTTATACTTTTGAGACATCTTGATGAAATCTACTCATTTAGTTCACTATTTCATTATTTAACCAGATAAGCCTAAAGAAAAAATAGTACTAATATTTGTAAAAACGCTCACTGTTATCAAAATAAAAATTTCATCCATAATGGAGTTATACTCTAACACAGTGTCCGATTTTTATCCTTATATCAGCTATAAAAAGTTTTCTTATATTTATGTGACTACGTAAAAGTCATAAGTCCATATATTTTCATTACTTATTTTTATTTTTTTTATTTTGATTACAGCTTGATGGCACACAGTATTTTCAGTGCAATTATGGAATTTTCAGCATGGATATCGGCAGCCCAAATTTTGCAGGCCAACCATAGATATCGGGTGTGCGTCGGCAGGGGATCGAACCCCGGACCATGTGCATGGTCGGCGGGAGTCCTAAGCACTGTGCCACCGACGCACTATTTTTATTTTGATCATTAAAGAAATTTATTAACTTACTTGTGCTATCCTATGGCCGACAGCTGCATCTGCACTGAGATTAATCGTTCTGTGTTGTACTCTAGGAAATTCCCATTCAGGTGCATTATCATTAACATCTAATATTCTCAGAACAATTTGTGCTGATCCAGTTAAAGATGGTTTACCGTTATCTTTAGCAAATAAATCCATTATAATAAGTTCCAGTCTTTCACGATCTAATGGCATAAATTGATCATTAAAATTAGATCCAGTAATTTGTGAATTCATTTGTGGCATACGAAAATACAAGTCACCGGATTTAGATATTGAAAACCAGTTGATTAAATTGGAATGTATTGTGAAATAGGTAGAATTTTTTAGGGAATAATCCTTATCATTAGTAAAATGTGATTTATCATTGAGCATTGAATGGTGAACAGATTGAAGCCAATAATTTAAATGTCTGTTTGATTCGTCTACATCACAATCATATGCTTCAACTTTTCCGATACGTACTGGCGGTCTTGAATCTTCACTTATATTGAATTCATATATTTGTTGTGTAAAAGTCGGTATGCAATCGTTAACATCCGCGATTTCGATTGTCACAGTAGCGTTGATTTTGTTTTCTTTCATTGTAGAATTATTAGTGTGCATTACAGGTATGGTTTTCATGTTCACGTCACCTCCATCCCGGACTTCAACCAGTAAAGATATCGATTTAATTAATTCTCTGTCAAATATTACCAAGGACTTTAACTCACCACTAATAGGATTCAGTTGAAACCATGGCTGTGGTGGCAAGTTTGAATCTTTCAATTGGGAAGATGGAGTATCACCACTGTTTTCTTTTTTATTGCTAGCGAACGTTGGTTTACCCTCTGTAAGTAGTTTGTAACGAAGTCCAAGGTTTCCAGCATTCGTTGCTGGATCGTCAGCATCTTCAGCACTCAGCTTTAAGACAACTGTATCAACCGGTGCTCCTTCCTCAAGAATGCCTGTTAAAGGACCTTTAAATACTGGAGTACAATCATTTTCATCAGCGACAATAACTTCTAAAATGGCTGTTGATGAATGTCTTCTGTATTCTGACATATGTAAAACAGTTCGATCAACTTTTTTATTAAAGTCGTATCCATTATCATATTCATCGTTATCATGACATTCTATATGGACAAAAAATCTAGCTTCTTGTTCCCTATCCAAAGACGTATCAGCTAGGTTAATTTTATATCTAAACCTTCCACTCTCTAATACATTTTCACCGACATGTAATGGGCTTATTTGAAATGCTTTGTGATTTACTTTACACACCGGTTCAAGGATTTGTGAATACCTGAAATTTTGTGATGTATTCATGTATGGCGGTAGTGTTAACGATGATTGTGACGAAAAAATAACAGGATTTTCTTGAGCTAATTTTGCATTGTTCAATTTTCTTGCACGTAGTTCAGCAGTCAAATCTTTGTCAGTCACAGTTGCTGTTGCTACCAATTGATTTGGTGGCCCATTCTCTTTCACTAGTATAGTTAAATGAAATCTTGAAGAGTGTAGTGTATCACTGATACTATTAGCAAAGTAAAAATTTCGATCCATTTGTCTGAATTCTAATGGTGAATGAAGTTGTATCTTAGGTACATGATCATTTAAATTGATAACATTTACAACCAGTTCAGATTCATCTGTCCATTTACCATCTGTTACTAAAATAGGAATACGATGTTTATGTGTATGTTCAAAGTCTACATGACCGTACACTGATATTGATCCAGTTGTTCGATCAACTTGAAATAACTGTTTCGTTTCTGCTGATACAGATGGTGAAAAACTGAATTTTAGACGTGATCTGTCGGTTACATCCTTATCTGTAACTGTTGGGCGATATATTGGTGTACGGATTGGTAAGTGTTCTTTAATCCATATTTCATCATAACGTTTTAAAAATAAAGGTGGGTGATCATTTATATCGGTTATTGAAATATTTAAAAATAGATAGCCAGTTAGAGGAGTTGGTTTACCTGCATCTGAAGCATAAATTAAAACTTCATGTGTTGTTCTATTTTCATAGTCTAAATCCATATTTACAGTCAACCATAAACCGGAACCAGTATTACGTGATGCATCTGTATTGCTTGATACTGTATCCCAATCGAGTGAAAAGGCTCCACTGACTGTTTGTGCATAAATTCCGTACATAGAAGTTGTATTTTCTGGTCTAGCATCTGGATCCATAGCTTGTGGTAATGCAATTCTTGTGCCTACATCAGTATGCTCTGAAATGGTTAAATCTAGCTTAGGGATGACTTTATTAATTTCTTGTAGTTTTTGATAGATAACTGAATGCTTATCCACGTGATAGGCTGAAACAGTCAGTGATTCATGAGAACTCCATTCTGGTGCATTATCATTTATATCCAACACTTGTACATTAACTTGTAGTATTATCTGTTTAAAACTGTTACTAATGTCATGATGAGTATCTACAAAGTCAACTAGAAGAAGAAGAACTATTACACATGGTTTACTGTCTCCTGATGAAATTTGTTTGTTATATTCATTGTATGAAATACCTGAAGAACAGCATAGTTGTTCAACTGAACAAACAGCTTCTCTGTTCACCCGTGAATTCACTCGTAAATACTGATCATTTGGATTTAATACATCAAGAAAAAATAGGGGATTAGGTTCAAGAAATTTAAATTTTGGTTCAAAGTTTGAACTGATTATTTGTTCGGAAGACGTTTGAGATAAAGCTTCAGCGAATAGCTTCTTCAAATCAGCGACTACAGCTGTTCTACCCATTTCTTCTTGCATATTTACAAATACTTGATAATTAGATTTTAATTCAGTTGCATAGATTGTAAATTGGGATGAATTTATGTACAAGAATAATGAAAACAGTAGTGTACAATAATCGTAGAAGTTAATTTTAATAAACACCCTGGTAATTATTTTTCTGCATTTCATTTTATGCTTGCTATCCAGTTGATTTGTATACGATAGTAAACATTGATATGAAGTGTTTTTCCATTTAAATTTTCATTTATTATCTTAATAATTCAATGAGAAATCTAGGAATAAACAGTTATACTGGTTCACTCACATCTCGCTTTCTGAGTAATTCTCAAACGAAACACAAAAATTATTCATGAAATTATTCATTTAGTGAAATAAAATTTACGCTAATCTGATTGGTCGAAAATTGGCAGCGAATCGAATTTCAGAAAATCTGGTGAACAAATTATAACAATGAGAAAATAATAAGGAATATTTATTTAAAGACCATGCAGATGTTTAAAAACACTCATATTTATAATTTTCTGGTTTTTTTTTAAAGTCAAGTTGTAAGATACTCCATAAGGTCATACAGCAGTGGCAATTAGGTTAAAAAATACTCATTATAAGGTGAATAGTTGAAGAGATTGATCTTCTGTTTATTCTTCTGATATTTTATTTACTTGTAAAAGTGCGACGAGGTTACAGGAATAATATTAAAGGTGAGTATTTACAAAATAAGACTAAAGTGGACAGTATGCTTCTGTATTTATTCAAATGATACTTAATTTTCCCTATACCACTAAAAGTCTTAAAGTAACAGATCAAAATCGAAGCGAAATGAACAAAATTCAACATAGGTAAACTGCAGTTATCAAGTATTTGGTTAACAGGTTTGGACTGATTTCAGATGAGATCAAAAACTGACTCCAGCAAAGGAAACACTGAAAACCAGGGAGCATTGAATAGTTGTTTCGACCTAATGTGAAACTTTCCTGCAGTAAGCACTGGGGATGGAATCGAGGACCCCCAGGTCCTTAGGTGATTGCTCTGAACATTCAACCACTGGGATGGAATCTAGTAAAATCTAACTTCCGTGAGGTTGAGATATGTATACAGCGTCGAGGCAAGCCAGTTTCGTCAGCGAGTATTTGTCGTCATACTCAGAATTCATGAGCCACTGGATTCCATTTCAGTAGCTGAATAATCAGAGTGATTGCCTCGTAAACTGAAGGTCTCAGATTCCATCTCCGGTAGGGTCACAGATGCATACTGTTACAGAGTCTTAAAATGCAACCTCAAATACGCCCTAGTTTTCAATGGTACACTAACTGAAGCGAGTTCATTATAGCAATGAAAATTGTAGTTTTATATGTTTTTTATGTTTTATTTACAGAATACAAACTGATAGCTGATAATTTCAGAATGTCTTCTTTTTCATGTTGACATAAATTAGGATATCACAGACAGCCAGTCGCCGTTCGTGTATTCTCTTGACCTTTAGAGCAAATGAATATATTATTTTATTGAAAGTAGAAGAACTTATTTTTAATGTCTATGGGAGGAAAAAGTAAGCATTCAGGAGACAAGCATTGGTTCTCATTTCACAGTACATGAATTCAACTACAAATAATGAATACCTTCATAAGTAAGCTCATGACATTGGCTGTGAAGACTGATTTAATTTACGGCTGGATATAGGCAACATAGAAAGTAATTTGAAATCTAGCTGTCGAAAACTTGCGCAATTTATGCTTCCTGTACAAACGTGTTTTAGAATTAGATTTACGCAAGCAGCACAAAAACTAACACTGAAGCTTCCAAATGATTTCAGTGATGGAAGTTACTTTAAAGATATGCTTTCGCGGCAATTTAAGCAGAAATATGTGAAGGCAAAATTATCGACTATTCTAACTAACTTTCAAGTCGTTACTTCCCTGTCATTATATCAGCTCATAGTTACACTGATAGTTTTGTCACTTTATGATATTGATCTTAATGATGGTTTTGTCACAGACACTCAGAGTTACATGGAATGTCAAATCGTGGTTATTTTTGTTACCTTGATTGTAAGTACAATGCAATAAGTAAAAATGCATGAATTTATTTGATAAATCCAAAACTATCAACATAACTTTAATACGAATTGACATATTTTCGTCAAAAACTAATATCAGTCATAGAGATCGTTGAAGTCCACGAAATGCTGGAGAGCTGTTTCGTCCTATTTTGGGACTCGTCAGTGCGAACCCATAACCTGTAAGGGATCGAACCCGGGACCTTCATGTTAGGAAACCAAAGTTGTAGGTCATTCAGCCACTTGAGCTGGGATCTAATGGCCCATAAACTCTAAATTTGTCAGCTCGTGATATTAATGCTGTCTTCATCAAAACCTCCGATGAACACCCACTTCACCTTGAAATGGTGTACCCCAGGAGTCACTGCTTCCCACTGCAGTTTCAGGATACCGATCCAGTAGTCATCAGTGATCTGGAGATTGATATTCAAATTATAGGATCTATGGGGATTTCGGTTCAATTCCAAATGTTGGATTTCCGTCATGAGCCAGACAGATCACTGATATTGGTATTTTCTTCTAAGAGACAAATTCCTGCAAACAATAAAGATGACTATCAGAAATTTTCTGAAATTCTTCTACTCACGAAATAAAAGATAAATCCCATGGAGAAAAGACATTGTGGCTTATTTTGTTCCTAATAGAAAATGAAGTCAATATAGAAAACCAACACAGGGAGAAACACTTTTTGTCAGTGCTGATGAACATCGAATGGTTTGTTCATTCGAACCAGTCTCCACATGGCAGGAGACAAGAAGGCTATCGTTGTTTAACTGTGTACTGGTTATCGGAAGACTGGAGAAATACCATCAGAAGTATTATTGTACATTATATTAACGTTTATTAACAAAGTTTTACACTGAGTAACAATTGTAAATTTACTTCGTTATCGGTTGAAGAGTAAATAATCGTAATTTCCAACCTTTTTCTGTTGTTCAGCGTCAGTTACAGTGCATAGTATTCTGTGCAATGGGCTTAGTCTTCTGAAACCGGCGATGGGTTCAGGATCTTAACGATCTGGGCATTTGACAGCTTCACTTATGAACAGCAACTTAGGGTTCAGCTTTAACTGAAACGATATTGACAAAGCACTACTGACTATATCTCCAAATGATGTCAAGCACAAGAATTCCAATAGTGTATTGTAGGTTAACAACAACACCAGAAGAATATTTCTCCACCTAAAATGTTAAGCATAATACAGAACTTACTCGTTCTACCCAAGTTGTTTCTCCAGTTTTATATATATATATATATGTATATATATATAAAGAAGCAGAAGTATATATTATGTATACGCATGAAAATATGCCTATAGGCTGTCAGAATCTGAGGCATTTCACTTTTCTCTTAAGCACATAACAGTGAGAAAACAAATCGAACAAGAGGTAAACAAGTTAAGTAGCTAAATGAAAAGCTAATCTTCTAAATTTATTTTTAGGAAGCTTTATTTGTAGTTATTATTTATTTATTTTTTTTTCTTAAGAAAAGACAGTGTAATCTTCTTGTCATTCAAGCATTTACCTGTCCAACTAATCATCCAATCGTTTACTCGTCATATTTTACTTTTTACTTTTAAAATAGTCAAGCATTTTTGCATTTTTGCATTATTCTAACTAAACGAATTCTTTCACTAGTTAGTTTATAGAATATCTAATGTGTTCTCATTATTTTATGCTGGAAAAGACAATCAATATTAGATTTATTTCCGGTTAATTTGATCATTTTAACTTCTACAAATGACTTCAAACAAATCCTAAGGTGAAATCGTTCAATATTCAATATCCGACATCATTGAATAAGGTGTTAATGAATCATTTTTGCTTAGTCCATGACATTTAATGACAACAGGTTTTGATTAATCATGTGTATGTAATTCAGCCTAGATAATGGGCTAAAGATTATTCTCTTATTTTTTGTAACACTATTTATTAATGATTTTGACAATAGTTTTGAAGTCAAAGATTTCTAGAAGTAAATACAAAAAGAACGAAACTTCTGTAAAAAAATCAAATTTAAATCTCACCTATGACAACGGAAAGTGTATTGATGCTTTTCAGTGAAGTTGTATTTTCTTCATCGTTGAACACATTTTATGACTGTATTAATTGAATATTAGCTTCTTCTAAACATTCTTTTTCTTTTAATTATTATCGCGTTAGTTAGGCAACTGTATTCTCAATTATTTTACAATTTCTATATGAAGATATTCATTAGAGTGTAAATGATGCCACGAAATTTGAAGTCGGTAATTGTTGAATATCTTTGTCTCTCCTTTGCATTTTAGGCTATTTTCAAACATCCTTAAGATTCCATTGATTTATAAACTGGCAATATTGATGTGATACCTCAATGGTTTATTTCATACGTAGTAAAATTCAGCATTCTTGTAATACTTATATAAACTGTGAATACATTTAATCTTTTCGGAATATGAAGCTGTGTAATCAACGTTAAATTTTCCGTCTTCGTAATAGTGACTAATGAATAAGAAGTCTTCACACTGTGATAAACGTACGTTTTTCTCAGTAATTCGTGACTGCACAGTGCTGAAATCAGTAGATGGGGTAGTTAAGATTAGGATCTAATTGACAGAGAATTGCTTAGCGGACCTGTTTATTTCCCTAATTTTTTTATTCCTATGAGTCCCAGGTGGTACATAGGGCTTCCAGTTTGAACTTTAAAGTCCCGGTAGCGGTTTTGGGTAGCTAATATTACTCCCAACCTTCTGTCTTTACGGGGCTTACTACCTGCTGAATGGAGCCTAAGAGTGCATCGGTCAGGAATCGAACTTTGGGTGATGCTGGTGGCTGGCGAGTATTCTAACACAACATCACCTATATTCTAATTGTTTTGCTTTTTTCTCATTCATAGCAAGCAACAGTAGATGAAGTTAAACAAAACATCAGTCTTAAAGAATACTTCTCTGACACCTCTGATAGTTCACTCTTAATCAGCGGAATGTTCAAGTCGTTTTGCAAATCTTGTCATATATATATATATATATATATATTAAAATAACAAGTCAAAAAATTTATCATGGAACCAAATTTGAGGGTTAAAATTCTCATTAATAGGATAACATGGTTTCAATCGAGGTAGCTTCTGCAAATTCGAACACAATATATGCTACTCGTCATTGTAAGTAGCAGAAAATTGCCCATAACCGATCTCATTCGTTGTTACTACACAGAGAAACTCATATCAATCTGTGATGCATATAGTTTACAAATATCTAAGTTTCTCTCTAAGCGGCTTCTGGTGTCAAGTTT